CAGGTTGCTTCTCGCCTTTGCGGTTTTGCGCTCTCGCCTTTTTCCCCGGGAACGACAAAATATATACATTTCTGGATTCAACGGCCTTTTTTCTGGACAGAGGAGATCTTTCTGGCACATCGGACTGGGCAACCGGCTTCGATTGAGTTCGACAGCTATTTACCTTCGACTTTCATCGAGCTGCACTGGTAGGATAATCACTTGTCCCAAGAACATTTCATTTTCATTATTTTATTTCTGTTAATTGATTTTCTTTATTATTGCCGGCTCAATGTCATTAATTTTAATTGAAGAAAAAGTATTGGTTTAGTATTTTTAATTTTTAGTTTTTAAAAAAGGTTTTAATCGGTAATATTCATTTTTATATAGAAAAGGTATCTATTTTGGATTATTTGTTTTTAATTTAAAAAAAGGAATTTATTCTGTATTATTCATTTTTATTTTCAAAAAATAGAAAAAAGGTGTTTATTTGTATTTTTTGCTGTGGTTTATTTTTTATTTCTTCTCACAAGGTATAAAACAACTGTCCTAATCCCACCATTCAATTAAACACTGAGCAACCTTTCTCTATAAACAGGATTTGCCTTAGAAGCAGGAGTCCGTACGTCAATCGTGTATGGCCTATTCTCAACCAGGTTAGAACCCTTCTTTGACTTTCAGGCCATCGATCCGGCCCATTATGTTATATGAAAACAATGAATACTCTAAAAAATGTATACATTTTTTATAAAAATATATTAAAAAATATAAAAATATATAAATTTATATTTTTTAGCCTATAAAATTTTCATTTCGTGTGCTTAATATTTAGTATTTTAATTAGTATGTCCTTTTTATTTTTATAAATATCGTCGAAATGCCTCTGATGAAATGATTTGCAAATACAATTACTAAATATCGACGATTTTTTCTAACTCTAAACTAAAATTTGAAAAATAACACACGGTTTTAATTCCCTATATATTGTCAAAAAGGTCTAATTTTAATTTGAATTAGAGTTCAAAAGTATGATTATTCAGAAATCGTGAGATGCTGTCTGGTGTGATGTAATTTCAAAAAAACATTTTCTTTATCGTGCCAAAATTTCGATCTTTATTCAGATCATCTTCAGGGCCTGGGATTTACAATCATTGTTTAAATTTAACAAATACATGTAGGACGTGGAAAAAGTGAATTTATACAATGCAAAATATTTTTTTTTTAAATATTCAATCAAAGAATTTCTACTCACTCAAAGTGTTTTCTGCCTAATTGTGCCATTCTTCCTGTCATGTATTGCTGTTTTATGTTTATATACGTGGATTTTGAAGGCGTGGGGAAGGAAGTCGGTATAGAAAGACATTTTTGTATAAGGAGTCGGCTTCTTTGAGGTGAAAAGAAGGGAAAAAACGTTGGTTCGGCCAGATTATCCTTTCAGGATTATACAGAAGGAGATAAATAGGAAAAGGAAAGCTGAATTGTTGAAAAATTAAACTATGTAAAAATGTGTGATGTGTGCAATGTGATGAATGTTTCATATGTATATTATAATATGCGTTTTCTGTGATCACCATACAGTTCAAAAGTATTTGAATTCATTGATGACAGAATATTGATTCGAATGAAATCAGAGTAACTCATTCATCATGATTAAAATTCATTGGACAATTGCTGAATTAAAACTGACTAAAATAGATACCATGTGTGGTGAGCATAAATAAATCCTTCGTACCATCCACGAACTCTTAATATTTCTTTTAAATTCACCTATTTAAATTTAAATACTCATTTGCTTACCTTATAATTAATAAAAAAAAATTAGTTTATTATTATAAATCTAAACATACTGTCAGAAATAAAGTTTTTATTTATTTTCTAAGCGGCTTTTTTATTAAATTTGTAAACTTGGCCCGCTATAATTAATACTATTATAAAATACAAGTACATTTATTGATTACAACTGATTTTGTGCTTTGTTTGGCTTTCACCTAAAATTTAATTGTCCAGTTTAAATTAAACTTGAATGATTCTTGGGGTTCGAAGATCAACTTAAAATAATTTCCCATTGAAGTTGTCCATAATTTTTTATTATCCAGGCTTTCGAGTTTGTGTTTAGTATTCATTCCGGAATTGATTGTAAAAGGTGTTTAGCCGTTATTATCATTAATGAAAATATTTATCTTCAAGTAATTATACGAAAGTTGTCAACTCAAAGACTGCCTTGAATCAAAGTAAGAATCAATTATTCGTATACAATGTGTATTAAAATCTACGCCGAAATGGAAGTAAAGATAAATATTTGCTCTGATGTAGCTTCCATTAACAGCAATCAGCTTGTACGCCCTGATCAACAAGGTCTAGCATGAATAGAAAAACCCACCTTTTTGTAACTATAAAAATAACTATGCAGTTAACTTTCCTTGATTTCTTGAGTAAATATTTTTGTTAAATTAGCGTTATTGAGCGGAAATATTTTTGTTTTATAATGTAAAAAAATATATAGTAAAACAGTTCGTGTTCTCCAGTATACATTTCAGATTCGAATTTGGACGGAAACCGACATACGAGTTGTAATTAAACGGAAAATTGATCGTCAGAAATCTAATTGCAAGCCCATTGCACCTATTAATGAGAATCGTCTGGTGTGGCGATGATAAAGCCTGTTTCTACTATGAATTATTGGGCGGTTTAAAGACTAATGATAGCGGTTTTAGACTCCATGGCAGTCCATTAAACAAAGCGACGTGATTGTTGAACTGAATCTTCCCTCGGACGTGTGCTGCGGTGAAATAATACATTTAAATTGTGCCGGTTTTAATTAACACATTATAAGTAAACAGCTGAGCTCTCAAGAAAATAGTTTTAACAAGTCACCAAGGTTTCGTTAAAATCATTATTTTTATTACATTCGTCAAAATAAAATCAACTCAAAACAAAATATTAAAACGCTTGTTCGGAGTCTGAAAGACTTAAATATGTACCACACTGGCTCTTTTTTTTAAAATAAACTGTTACGAAATATTAATGACTGACGACCACTGTTTCAACCACTGCGTTAACTCACCTGAGGAAGGATTAAAATAAATCCGAAACGTTATGGATTGAAAGAAAAACTGGTTGTTGTTTTTTTGAGATGACCTATTATCCCACCTTCGAGAAGGAGAAATCATAAGTTAAACTGTTGAGGCCGAAATAGTGTTATTTGAATAAGACTATCGGAGAATAATCAGCCCCCTTAATTTAAAGATTAAGTTAAGATTAATATTTCCTTATTGTCCATTATTGTTTACAATATAGTAAACTCTTTATATCCTATATTTAAATGTTTGCTCGAGTACAAGGTTTTGCATTTGTTAATTTATTGTATACTTTAATTTTACTATTATAGGTGTGTAAGTAGGTAAGAAGTTAAATTAATGAAATGATATGGAAATTATTTACAATTTACTTCCTATAGCATTTTGTTAATTCTTTTTCTATAGACACTGAAATGAACGAGAGATAGGCTAGAGAATAATTTATTTACTTGCTCTGTAATTTGGTGAATTTTGGCTAATATATTTTTTTTATCATCGGTAAGTTGATTCTATATGCAATTCCTCTTGTAACAAAAATAAATTTATCTTTTTCTTCGTATTATAATATACATATTTGTCACATAGATTTATAGATTTAATGTATGCTATGAACTCCTATTTCCTCTCATAATAATTGTGATGTATATTTGAAAAAACATTGTATAACATTTTTAGACATTTTTTGTAGGATATAAACTGGGTCAACAATATATCTATCTTAGTCTATTATGTCTATATACAGACCTATGTGGATTTATGGTACCGAACTCTGGGGATCAACAAAGCATTCAAACTTTCATCGGATCCCTAGATTCAAATCCAATTCCTGCAAAAAATTGTTAACCCTACATTTTATATATCAAAAGTAACTCTTCACCGAGATTTAAATATTCACTTTATTTCAGACTTAGCGAAGGCCTATTACAAAAAAATCCATCAATCACGTTCTACACAACCGAATGACTTCGTCCGTAAGCTCAGTTCCACTAACTTTCCAGATAATCCTCCCTGTTGACTGAAACGCCGATTGCCACGTGATTCCCAACATAGTAATGAAAAATGTCAATAAATTGAAGTCAATTATTTCTTTTATAAAAGCCGCATCACTGGGCGAGTACTTCACTCATGTCGTATCAACTGTTTAGTTTTTGCAACATTTTTATTATTGTAATTGTTTTAAAATCAATTGTGTTAAAAATCAATAAAAAGAAGAAAAAATATTAAAAAAGGTGAGAGGTAGGGAGGGATATCCCCCCTATAACGAATACAACATGTTGATATTTTTTAAGTATTAATTCAAACTCATTCACGATTTTTCGTGGTCCGCTTGACCAATTAATAACATTCAATTAATTAAGGTTTTAAGTTGAGATAAAAAAGTCAGTGTCACTAGCGGGCTTCGAGCCCACGACCTTCGGCTTGATACGCCGCTGCTCTACCACTTGAGCTATCGTGACTTCGATCCCCTCGGGGACTAACTTCCCATCTCAACACCACCTTTTGAATTTTCCCTTACTTTTTGCCATTTTTCAAATGTTCAAATTTTAATCAATTAAATTCACTATTTTTCTTGGTCCGCTTAACTAATTAATAACATTCAATTAATTAAGGTTTTAAGTTGAGATAAAAAAATCAGTGTGACGAGCGGGATTCGAACCCACGACCTTCGGCTTGATACGCCGCTACTCTAAGACTTGAGATATCGTGACTTCGGTCCACTCGGGCACTAACTTCCCATCTCAACCCCATCTTTTGAATTTTCCCTCCTTTTCGCCATTTTTCAAATGTCGTGTAATCGGATTGGATTCTCGGCGACAAATGACACTGACTTTTTTATCTTAACTTTAAACCTTAATTATTTGAATTAATTCAAACAATAAAACTGTTTTTCTATTGTTGTGTCAATAATAATAATGATATTATTTTGAATCAGATTTCACCAACCTGTATGAAAGAGTAGGCCGGACGGATGTCTTGTCTTGAAATACAGCGAGACGGAATCCTGCGTCGATACGATCGGCTCCCCGCCGGTCCTGCTCAGGTCGTAGTAGAGATACTCGACTCCCCGGAACGTCGCTTCCGAAGGGGCTTTGTCTGCAAGAAGAAAACAAAAAAGTTACGAAACTGTAAATGTAGCAAGACGACTCGGTAAATCTTCCTCAACGAGAAATTACTCAAGTTAAAACCTGTAATTTTCCGGAATTATTGTCGCCTCGCACGCACCACCGGGCACCCGACTTTATTACTCCACCAGGGGTTTCCGGATTTAATAACATTAATGACAAAACATAAAATAACCCACCAAGGTTTTGCAATACGAAACACACTCATAATCTATACTTTACTGTATGTTGTAATTTGAATAACCATCTGGATTTTAATGGAGCTCAATTGTAATATTTAAACTTATAAAATTCATAACCATAAAAAAAAATATTGCCGTAATCCCTTGGTTACATCACATAATCAATCCGAAAGGGGGTGGTTTAAGGTAGACTGAATTTTAAACGGACGAGGGTGGATGAGCTTTTAGATCAATATATAATGAAGGTCTCAAAACTTTTTATTCATTTAACCAAGGATTGTTTGGCGGATATGAGATTTGCATTTATTTTTTATATAATGAGAGTTAAAAACAATGTATGTCTGTTTTTTATTCTACACAAGTTTGCAATTAGCCAGTTTCCAAATTATATTTTTTTGAACAGAACACCTTTTGTTAATAAACATCGTGTATTTCGAAGTAAAATAAATTTACGTAATTTAAATCATGTTCAGCATTTAAATTATCTGTGTTGTTACAATTAAACAAATTGATATTTGTTTACCTTGTTTTACCGTAACAAAAGTATAAACATTTAAAATATAAAAAGTTACGATAAAAATATAATTATAATTATATTAATTAATAATTATAATTGTTAATTAGAATTATCTTAATTAATAATTATAATTGTTAATTATAATTATAAATATCCCATTTTCGAGTTTTACATTAAATGTATAACCTGATCACTATATATTTTATTAATTTGTTTTTATAGATCTTGCTATTCAAACATAAATTTGTTGTCATCGTTAGTAATGAAATTACGTGGGTCAAATTATATAACCTGAACGTTATCTATTATGTGGCAAAAATCTAGGATGGAGGGTTTATGGCGTACTTGATATTCCTCCATAGACCCACCCATGCATACACTACTATCGCACTAATAAATACATTCACTCAAACAGTAACCAATCATTTTGTATTTACAAATATAAAAAATGCGGAGCTACTGGCGCATTTAATATTACAACAGTGCTTCCGCCCATTCATTCTAAAAGATATTATAGCCTAATACTAACCTCAATCGGTGGGTCTGTGGAGTACGCGATATTCCTGCACAAACCACCCATACACACTCACTTTCGCGCCAATAAATACATTCATTCTACCCAAAACACACAAAGAGATATCTACCGTTTGGTGGGTCTGTGGTGTACTCGATATTCCGAGCACTACCCACCCATACACTCACACATTCTCGCCAATAAATACACTCACTTCAGGAAGGGAAAACGAAATCACGTGTGGAGAAGCATTAAAGGCGACCATATGCATTTATTTGCTTCAGATATTCGATTACTTGATTGCAGTTGTCATTGCTGTGTTGTAAAACCTCTTTATAACTCGAGGAAAGGCCAGACTTTGTTCTGTGCGGCGCCAATAGTTCGCATTCGGTTAGTAAATGCTTCACAATTATTTGCGCGCCGCACAATAGGCATCTCCGTGGACTTTTTATCGCCAAGAGAAGACCATGCGTCAGTCTAGTGTGGCCTATTGGCAGTTGGGTCAACATTATTCTCTCTGTTTTGCTGATACTATCCATTGCACACGGTTTGACCGACTGTTTTAGTTCTTTTAATTTCTCGGTCATTTTGTCCCATCGGTTCTGCCAATCTTTCCAGCAAAGATCATTCATATATTTTTTGACATCCGCTGGGCTCACGGGAGTTTCCGGGTCATGTGGCATTATCCCTGCTCGTATGGCAACTTGATCGGCATTTTCATTACCTTCTATGCCTACATGGCCCGGTATCCAGGCAATAACTACCTGATTTCTTTGTTCGTGTATTTCCCTGATTTTCTCTTGTATTGCCTGGATTAGTGGGTCCATGGTGAAGATATTACGGACGGCTAAGACCGCACTGAGTGAGTCGGTGCATATGACATATTGGTTGCACACAATGTGTTCAGTTTCACTCAGCGCGATGATATGGCGGTAAACTCTGCTGTAAAGATACTTGCAGCCTTTGGGAAAGGAATTGTTTTAGCTTATTTTCCCAGCATACTGCGCTGCCGACCCCCTCACTGACCCTAGAACCATCTGTATAAATGAAGCTTCCTTCACTGTATTCTATTTTGAGGGCTAGGAATTTAGCTTTGAATACATATGGGAGGGGGGTCTCTTGTTTCTTCAATTCCGCCATATCTACCCGTATTGAGAATTGAGGAGAGCGTCCATCTTGCTATTCAAACATAAATTTGTTTTCATCGTTAGTAATGAAATTACTTGGGACAAATTATATAGTCTGAACATTATCTATCATGTGGCAAAAATAATCAATATTACTGTGTGGGAAAACCCTTTCAGTTTCTCTTTTTATGTAATTTTTTAATCTAATATTTGTCTTTGCATATTTTATTTAATGAGTGTTTTTTTAGTCACCGGTTTTTTAAATAATTCGTTGGATTTGTGAGGAACGATCAAGAATGGGGTAGTTTGGAAAAACACTTTTTTCATATTTTAGCCGACGTTTCGACCTTTGTTCGGGTCATCTTCAGGGCACTTTTTGCAGGTTGTAAAGGTCGAATCGTCGGCAAAAAAATGAAAAAGGTGATTTTCTGACTTAACTCATTATTGACCACTCCTTACAAATCCAAAACAAAATGTTTATTTAATGCTGCCATAACAATAAAATATAAGTGTTAGTTTTTTAAGTTACTTAAAATACCCTCTATACATTTATACGAACGGCGAAAAGGTTTTTTTTTTAAACAACCGGTTAAAAATCAATATGATTTGCCCTTAGGGCGGTCAACAATTCTTCTTAACCCACAAAAACATTCCTATTTAAATGTTACACAAACAAGTGAGAAAATAGAAAATACCAGGGACCTCCGCAACGTAAGCAGGGATGCAGGAATGACTTTCCGATCGATGACATAGCCTGGGGGGGATATGGGTGGCTGGCAATGAAATGCACATCCAAGACCCTACTATTTCCCAATATTTTTATTTGATTTCTGAATAAAGTCCAGAACTTTCCTCCAGTGTGGGGTGCTGATGCATTAGGTTTAATCTGCTGATGCTGTAAATTAAGGCACAGACAAATGGTGTTTTTCTGACATGATAAATAAATAATATTTAATAAAAGGTTATATGAACGTGTAAAAATACTATTATTATAGTCGTTTTGATGGAATTATCTTCACATACACGTTTTTACGCTTTTTCAATTATTTTAGTTTAGTGATCATCACTCACAGTATATTTTATTTTTAAAAAAGAATACAAGCGAAACGTCGACAATTTATTATTTTGAATTATTAACGACTCGATATGTTTGACTAAGCGTTGGTTTAAAAAGGTTAGAAAATTATAAATCAATTATATGCAAAATTAACCAGAATAATTAAATTGATTAACTGGGGAACTTGGCAGACTGTTTATTTATTTTTTATTTTTTTAAATTTTGTAAGTATGTCCAATCGAGCGGCCCTACATTCGAACCATGCCCCTTTAACTTACGGTGATGTGCGCCGTGCCAACATCTTAACTGCTGCGGGCACCGACGCCTCTGTGTATTTTATAGTATTTTTTTTCTTCTTTTTTTTTGACTGGGGCTTCCGACATCTAGGTCATTTCAGCCCCCAACTAAGTCTATATTCTATTTACCCTTTCAAACACTACATTCATACAAATAAATCCATTCATACACATAAATACATCTATCCAGTACACTCATTCTGTTTGGTTGGTGGAGTACTTGATATTCCTCCACCGACCTATACTCAAACTAATCAAGATTGGGGTCGATGGAGTACTTTTATAAATATTCCGCCATCGACCCCGAACACACACTCATACGCTCTCTACGTTCGAGGGGCGGTGATGGCGTTATATTTAACCCTCACCCCTCGCCATTCACGCTAATAAATACATGCACTCAGACAAAACATATAGATACAACGCATAAGACATATTATATACAATAAAAAAAACAATTTCCCCTAAAAAGCGGAACTGGGGACTCTGAAACTCGCTACCGTGTTCGAGAACTCTTCTTAAGTCATGCGGCATGCCTACACGCTCTCTGTATGGAGCCAAGGCATGACACGCCTCTATTATGTGGGACACTTCGAGCAACCTTTCTCTGCATAAGGGGCACGTGCGCGGGCTTTGGCCCAAAAGCAGGTGCCCATGTGTCAACCGCGTATGGCCAATCCTCAGTCGAGTGAGGTCGATCCCTCGTCTCCTGCTCAGGCTCTCTGAGGGCCATTTACTGGTCGTGCTCTTGACTCGTAAGAGCCTCTCCGACGACCCCGCCCACTGACGCTGATATCTTTTTTTTATCATATTTTTTATTGCGTGTCTAGCGTCAGGGTTCCTGATCGCGATGGTCCGATCAGGAGGGTGGGACGTACCGGCTTTCGCCGCCTCGTCCGCGCGTTCGTTACCCTCCAGTTCGACGTGTCCGGTAATCCAGACAACAACCACCTTTTTTTCGAGAGGCTCCAGCTCCGCGTATTTCTCTAACAAGAGCACGACGAGAGGGTCCACAGAAAACATGTCGCGTATAGTCCAGACAGCACTCAGAGAGTCGGTACATACGAGGAAGGCTGAGCCCTCCCCGGTCCGCACCGCCGAATCGTATAAACATATGTCTATATTTTATAATTTATCGATCGAATGTTAAAAAAGTAGTCTCATTTTTAAAATGGTATTTTTAAAATTAATTAATTCCTTTCTATAGAGTACGATTTCAACTTTTTCCTATTTGGTTGTTATTAAGATTTTTTTTCATCGTTCGCTTACGGTTC